ACACCGAAAGCACATCAACACCATCACTGATTGCAGCATCAAAGGCTGCCATGATGTCTGCATCAAAGCACTCATTGCCATTGATTGGCGGCCAACATACCTTGTACGCAGCCACACGAGCTTTCGGTGATCCACCCTTCGCAGTGCCATTGCCATTGCCGAAGACACTTGCTCTCGGGACGAAATTACCAGCAGCTGTTGACAGTGTGTGAGAGCCATGGCCACCAAAGTCGCGTGCGTTGGGCTGGATGGTCTTAGCTGCAGAGGAGTTTACTGTGGAGGCATATGCAAGATAGCCTTTGCTAAAGTACCTTGCTCCTATCAGCTTCCTGCACAAGTGATTATCAGCTAATTAAACTTGTATTAAGCTGACAAGCAAAGATTTCTTCAACCGAAAAACACAGCCATGTGAATTGAATTAAACAAACTAGCAATGCAGCAATCACAATTTGCGTGCTAAGAAAAATATACATGAAAGTGAGGCAGCATGTAATGAATATAATATTAACAGTAAATAATAAGTGTTTGTAGATTAGATTAGTACAACACAGACATTGCTAGCATAGTTGGTCTTACTTCTGCATGTGATGAAAATGTGCAACATAAACAATGATCCAAGTTGACTTTCTGAGATTTAAATTGGAGGCATTTCAGTCAACTCCAAGCATGATCAGGACCAAACAAAAAAAGCCTCCTTCAATGTGGATAAAATACAGGAAACCATTTTTCTTGTTATCCAAACTTTTTACTTTGATGACTCTCAAAGCATATTCTTTCCATCACATAATTCAAAAAAATAAAAATAAAACAGAGCTGAACTGATAGGTGATAAATTGCAAAAGTATGACATACCAGAAAAAATAGGTGGGAGACACAGCTTTTGGGAACTTTATAATAGGGACCCCCTTTCTTTTCAAACTTTATAATAAAGTTAGGGTGTTAGATCATAGATGTCGCCCAATAAGGCGTTAGATCAAAAGTCAATTACCCATGGGATACAGTCACCTCCCATAAACCATAAACTCACATGGTGTTGAAAACCAATTCCGAAATAGTTGGGTAAGCGTGAAATAAGAGAAATGCTAAAGGCGAGTTCACGCGCAAGTGGGTGACTTCTGTCCGTAAATGTAATTTAGAGCCCATAACTCGTCTACTAAAGTTAGATATACCTATTGGGTATCTTCACCTAGCATCTTAAGTTATGTTTGTACCCTAAATAAATCTTGATCACTCAAATGAGGGACAATTAAACTCTTCAAACATGTAATGTGTTTTGAAAATTGAAGTGCTTAAGAAACACAGCAAGAAGTGAAGAAAAGAATGAACCTATTGCAATGAGAACCATTTTTGGTGTCAAGCTGACAGATTCCACGCCACTTGGATGGGATTGGTCCAATCCCTTCGTCGCTAAAGCTCTTTGATTCCGGCCAAACACCTACCACACCCAATAAAGAAAACAAGCCAAACAAAAGAAAACGTCAAAGCACACGATTGACCCAAGAACAGTATGGCACACACAAATAATATGCTACAAATAATGGAAGCAAAAGCAAAACTATACCAGAAAGAAAAATAATATATATGGTATTCTTATACCCACAATTTGAAACACAGATATATTACGAAGTTGTCACAGTCAGTTATCTAGACTGATCTGCATTTCTTACAGCGGTTAGTTTCTAAGAATTAAGATTTTCTTGCAGTTAAGTAAAACAAAGCTTGAGATCAACTTGCAAAACTCTTTGAAATATGAAAGTGGGTTGGTCAAAATCATTATGCAAGATGCCATATTGGGTTGGTAGCATTTCACAATTAGGGTTTGTTTTATATAAACCATGATATATATCACTTCAGAAAGTTTCTATCTGATATGAAAAAAGCTGACCTAATAGGGTCAGGTCAAAGTATCATAATTATATAAAACTCAGCAGCACTATATCATTGTCAACTTCTGGATTTAATTCGAAGAAATCAGTTGTGCTAAAAACGTGGACATGAAATCAAGTTTCAAAAAATCACGCAAGATTTAATGGGCAAGGCATCTGTCAAGAAAAGCAAACAATGTGACCGATCTTACACTCCAAAGAGTTCCATGTTGCATAAATTTTGAACCAACCAACAAATTAAATTACCAGTATCAAGGTTTCCGATAATGGTATTTGCACCAAACTGTGCCTTCTTCCAAATCGAACCGCGACGAACTTCTCCGTTTTCTTCCAATCCAAGAAAATCCCATGAACGAGTTGTATGCAGTTTTCTTCCTCTGTTTGGGAAAACAGAAAGAACATTTGGGTCCCCTGCAATTGCATATGCATAGCCATTGTGAGAAACAGAGAAAAACAGCAGAGGAAACTGTAAATAAGAAAGAAGTTCTAAAATTGATTTCCAAAAACATTGTAATGGATACATATCTATAGAAAGTATAAGATTTGAATTCTTACTTGCAATCTGAGCAGCCTCTTCATCATCCAAAATTGCAGCAAAGCCATTGATATTTCTGTTATAGGAGTAAAATATTGCTTCTTGGGCCCTTTCATTGCTATTGAAGAAAGTGCAGCAAATAACAAATTCAACCAAATTAGACATGAAAAAAAGAAAAGAAACATAAAAGCCTGGTCAGAACTTATATCTAATGCCATACCTTCCCAATACTGATCCCAATAAATTGTAATGAGAGTTTGTTACACTATCAAGATCGACCGACGAAGGGTCCAGAACATGAGGCTGTGCTCCTAAGTACACTATGTAAGACTGAAACAAAGAATAATTCCAAGGCCATCAGTAGAATTCATTAGAATGAAAAAAGAAAACTGAGAAAACTGAATTGCATGAATGAAGTGAAGAAAAGCAATGCAGACATACATTTTTTGCAGCATGGACTGGTATCTGAAACAGAGAGAAGAGAAGAAGAGAGAGAAGAAAAGGGGGGAGAATTGAACTCCCCATTGCTTTGCTCTGAATGTTTTCTGAAGAAGTTCGTAAAGAGGGCTCCGCTTTCCCCTGTTTTTAAAACTCTTTTTTTGCCTTTTTAGGGAGCAAAATTTGCTTCCCTCTTCGGATTAATGACGGAAAGTTGTGGGATTTGAAAGTTACCTTCTAAGGGAATTGACATATTTTTTTTTGGAAATTATATAATTTTTAAAAATCATGGAAACAGCTTTTTATTTGGATATATGATTGGGAATGAGATTTCTGAAAATTGGTGGGAAAACAGTGGCCTGAGAGAAAAATATCCTTTATGTTTTTGCAAAAATTATGTCGTCCATCAGTCAAATATCATGGTGGCCTGTACATTAATTTCGGGAATCTGATTGAATTTGGCAAGAAATTTAGTATAGGGAATCAGTAATTAGCATCAATTAGTCTTCTTTAGTGGGAAATTGATTCAAATTTAGTACCTTTTTTTTTCTGAAGCAAATCACTGTTGATTTGCTTTGACTAGTAAATTATAAAATTTGCTTGTAAAAAGATTTGCAAAATGCAAATGTATCACGTCTCTCTCGTATAAAAAATAAAAAAATAAAAATAGAAATCTCAACTTCAATCTTTCTCTTTTATAGATGGGCCAAACTTGCCTTTAGAGCCAAGGCAAGCCTTCAACTCTAGGTTGTCCAAATAGAGATACAAATGTTCTCAGCATTCTCATCTATGGATAAAATAGTCCATGCAGTTTTAGACAAAGGGAGAAACAAAAGCCCATGTTTCTTGTGGAACCCAAAGAGAGAAATAAAAATAAAGAGATTTTCTATTTAAACCCCGCACTTCTCTTTGTTCACCCCAATACTTAAATAATTAAGCTGTAAGTTTTATTATTGTATAAAAAGACAAAAAAGGTCATCCAACTTAATAATTAACCACAGTACATCTATACACACACCCCCACACACCCCACCACTCTTTATATTAAGTTTTAAAAACCTTCTTCCAACTTCCTGTTTTCAAACTCTCTCTCTCTCTCTCTCTCTCCACTCACCTCTCTCTCTCTCTCTCTCTCTCAACTCAACAATACCCAAGTGTTAGAATTCCAGTTACAGTTCTTGGAGAAAGGTAAAGTTGTTCTCTTTCTCTAGAAAATATTAAATTTCAGATTTGTGGTTTCATTTGTTTGTGTTTTTTTTTGGCTGAGAACAAAGAAAATTGTGGGATTTAAATAAAAAATCTCTTTTAGTTTTTATTTTTTTAGTTTGGGGTGTATTTAAGGGTAGTTTGGGAAGATAGTGGGGTTTTCTTAGAAATTGTGAAAATTTAAATTAAAAGTTGAGGTCAACTTAGAACATGGGGTGAACTAAGAGAAGTATGGGGTTTAAATAGAAAATCTCAAAATAAAAGAAAGATTCAAATAATATTCTCTCCATATGCTTTCTAACCACTCCTCTTCTCTCTCTCTCTGTAAATGCATATATTCTAACAGATGCTTCCCCAGAAGTTCTTATCACTTATGATTTGGTAGCGTTATTTCAAGCTTTCCTTGGAAGTGTACACTTCATCAGTACTTGTCTCTCAGCATTACAGTTAAAGAAGAAAAGCTCACAATTACATCAGTGTTAGAAAGAAGAAGGAACACTACACACACACACACACCACACACCCCCCCCTCTCTCTCCCCCCAGAGAGTTTCTCTCCAAGGTGAGCTACTTGCCCTTGCTATAAGAAGTTATAGATTAATTGCTCTTGCTCTGAAACTTGCCGTTGTCGTTGTTTTGCTCATGCTGAGTTTAAGATTCTCGGGTAACAAATAGAATTCCTATACTATTTTGTCTTCATAACTTGTTGGTTGTGCTTTAGTTGCTATATGTTTTGAATTTTCGTTAAATCCATACCCTGGCCCTCAAAGGATTACGAAACATGTTCTTGAAGATAATTCAGATGCTTTTGTTCCTCATGCGTGTGCCATGCATGTCAAGGATTTGGCCCGTTCTTCAGACTTCAAGATGTAACTATTCCATTGATAAAATAAAAAGATCATTCAAATCCGAAACCAAAATATAAAATCATTCAAATTTCACTTTTGAATTCAAGAATATGTGTTTCTGTAACACGAATGAAAGCTTCTATGTCATGACATGAGAACCAATATATATATGTACAGGACGACATAGATAAATTCGATCTGGACTAAAGAATCACCGTGAAAATAAATCCTGGACACTAATTTTACTAGCAATCCACGTATCTCATGGACATAACAAGATAGGACAGACGTAACAGCGCTTATGATTTCATTCTTCTGTTTTTGTAGGCTTCAGAAACCTTTCCAGGCATTAAGAACTTCATGGAAGATTTCTGCTATCAAGTCCCTGTCTGCACTTAGCAAAAAGGCATTGAAATCGTCTTGGATGTCATATATCTTACCAAACTTCACAAGATACCGCATGCAGCTGGTTTTCAGTCGCGGCAATTGATATAGAGATGCATTTTGGAGCCTCTCAAGTACATTCTTTGCATCAATATCTTCCAAAAGACTCTCATGGCATGCATCTTTCAGGTCAGAGATGTCATACTTATCAGCAGCATGGAGAAGGGCAAGCCTGTTAGTCAGGAATTCTTCATGTCCGATGTTCCCATAAATGTAATTAAGAAAAGCCTGACAAGCATCAATTGACATATCAGAGATGTTTATGGTGGACAGTTCCTTCTCTTTGAGGTCATGCGAAAACATGCTACGGAAAACAGGTGATCTTGCGGCAAGAATTGCCCGATGAGCTCCAATGCTTCCATCCGACACGTTAATCATGATGTCGGTGTGGATGCCTTCTGTTAACATTCGACCAAGGGACGCAAGAGCTGTTGCATTGGATCGCTTTTGCGTCAATCCTTCAGCCCAGATGGAGCAAGGTTCTCCACTCTATAAATGTAATGGCAAATTATCATTATTAAATTAGGAATGGTGAAATCAGCACTCTTGTTTATTATTACTTATGCTCAACCTAACCTCAGTCACAAAACAGAACAATGTGATTATGTTGGCTCTTCAATATCATACTATATATTTAAATTAATATTAGCAGTTTTTACAACAGCAAGTAAAGTAAGATGCTTACGTCTCCGGACGCAGTCTTCAAATCAAGGAATTCAACGTCTATGATGAATTTTCCAGTTAAGGGAACCTCAATTGCCCAAACAAAATCCTCATTGCTCTTGAGCTTTTTGTTTGTAATTTCTACATGAATACGAAACAAAAATAAAGCAGTAAATGAGCTCTGCTAAAGAAAAGAAAAGCAGCATCATTAAGAAAACATATCAAAGAATTAGACTTAATCAAATACTTTA